GCCTCCGTATTTTCTGCAATAGCCTACCATGGGGAACCTTATCAAACTTATGAACCATCTACAGGTGCTTCAACAACAACCTTCCCTACATTATTACGTCAGAGGAGGGGATATTTGCTAATAATTGCAGAGATGATTCGTAACTCCACAGATACTGAAGCAGTCCTTGCTGAAATGCAACAAAACCTGGACAATATCCAAGCTTCGGCTAAAAAGTATAACATTCGCACCACACAAATACCAGGCAATGACCACCTCCAATAAGAGATAAGCTACCATCATCCAATGGCATTGAAAGGCATTGCCAACACTCAGTCCCCCACTAACAACATCCTTCGGGTTGCCATTGATCACAAATTCAGCTGGACAAGCCATGTAAATACAGTGGCTCTAAAAAGAGGCTAGGAATACTGCAGAGAATAACTCACCACCTGACTCCTAAAAGCCTGTTCACTATCTACAAGGCATAAGTCAGGAGTGTGATGGAATATTCTCCACTTGCCTGGATGAATGCACCTCCAACAGTACTCAAGAATCTTGACACAATCGAGGACAAAGCAGCCGATTTGATTAGCACCACATACACAAACATCCACTCTGTCCACCACTGACACTCAGTAGCAGCAGTATGTACTTTCTACAAGACACAGTGCAGAAATTCACCAAAGCTCTTTAGACAGCACCTTTGAAATTCATAACCACTTCCAACCAGAAGGACAAGGCAGCAGATGCATGGGAGCACTAACATCTGCAAGTTCTCCTCCAAACCACTCATCATCCTGACTGGGTCAAAATCCTGGAATTCACTCCCTCACAGCACAGTGTGTGTACCTACACCACATTTATTGCTATAGTTCAAGGAGGCAGCTCACCACCACCTTCTCAAGGGTTACTAGGCTGGCCAGCCAGTGTTGCTCACATGAATTAAAAAAAAGCTCAATTTTCCTGCCTGTCCCATTGCAAGCTCAACTCCATTGTATGTCAAAAACCTGTCTAACTGATATTTGAATTTATTAACCAAAGTTCTTTCTCAGGGAGAGAATTCCAAAGATTAATAGATTTCTGACAAGAAATTCCTTCTCCTCTCTGTCTTAAATGAGAAGCATCATTATTTTTAAATCATGTCCCCTAGTTTTATGGACTTTCCTTTTACTATTGCATGCTTTCTCCAATCAGTTAATTTTCTCCTATATTATTGTTTCAGGGGCCTTTGTGACGTGAGAGATTCTCATGACATGGAGCTATATAATCAGGGCAGTATTGAGGCGGTTTCACAGTGTGTCCATAAATGGCTTTTTCCCCATTCTATTTGATTTACAAGTTCTGGAAGTATTGGCTAGGGGAGTTGTTGAATGCAAGTAACTCTCCTCTATAATTGACAATATAGAGGGAGGGATCGAGGTGAGAGATTTTTTGGGATTCTCAGTGACTGATACGAATAAAATTGCAGAGTACAGAAAGAGAAGATTGAGAAGGAGAAGAAAGAGGAGGAAGACAAGAGGTATGGCAGGACCAAGTATGCCAATGATCTAAGGGAGCAGATCAGAGAGAGGGAGCAGAAGCATATTGCAGAGCGGGCAGCATTCTTTGAGGAAGGAACGCGTCTGAAGGAGGAAGCTTATCAACGACGGCTTCGTCTCGATCAAATTAAGCGCAAGAAACTCGAAGAACTCAGGTCAGTTCCATTGGGATTGTGTACAATGATAGTGAATGAGAAAGGATTGAGATCAATCGGGATCGTGTACAGTAATTGTGAAAGTGAAGGGATTTGAGTCTACTGGGAATGTGTACAATGTGAGAGAATGAGGAAGTGTTGGTGTGCTATTGAATTTTACTTTTTATTTATTTGTTCGTGGGATGTGGGCATCAACGAACGTTTATCTTCACTAATCGTCCAGGAGAAGGTGAGCCAGAATAAATGGAAAGATGTTTGATCCATTGGGATTGTGTAGAGTGGGAGTGAATTGGAAAGAGCTTGGGTTCCTTTTGGATTGTGTAGTGAGAGTGAATGGGAAGTGGTTGAATTGTGCAGAATAAAGAGGCTGGAAGCTGCATTTATTCTGTGAGTGAGTGAGAGGTGTTCTAATGCTGAATCAGCCTCAGCCCCAGCCCCAGTGTCTGTAACTCATTTTCCTCCTTGTATTTCAGGTCTGTTGGTCTTCCAGAGAAGTATTGTCGTGAGATTGAGCGAAGATTGGCAGCTGTCACAGCTTAGGAGCAAATTGTGTTGAAATGGTGGCTATATTTGGAGATTGTCTGTTCCATGTTTAATGTGGTCTCCAGTAACTATAAAGAATAAATTAAACATGATCTAACTCATTATCACTGTCAAACTTAGTTTTGTCATATACTTTTTACGTGTTATTTCATTTAGTTGGAGAATTTCTCACTTCAAACCATTCAACACTCACCACAACCTGAATCCTAGCTCCTCAGTCCTCAGTCCCAACCCTCACTTTGATTTTCATCCATTCGTCCCAAATCTCTCAACCCTAACTGTCAACTCCTTACCCTCAAATCCTAACCCCCTTTACCTCAACCTCAATGCATCATTTCAACATCTCACCTGTTGCTGCACATAGTCTATGGGATATCTTGAGTACAGGTTTGTGATTGTTTATTCATGCAAAATGCAGGGAGAGTGTACTTGAAGACTAACAGGTGTAACTCCAAGGAATACAGTAAAAGGCAATACCTTAATAAGATCTTTTAGCCGCGTGGGCATCTCATTATCCAAAATCCAATCTACTTTCTGTACATGTAAGAAGCAGATGTCCATTCTAGGTCATAGGCTAGGTCATAGGTGCCAGGGTCCGTGATGTCTCGGATCGTGTTTTCGGGATCCTTAAGGGGGAGGGGGAGCAGCCCCAAGTTGTGGTCCACATAGGCACCAACGACATAGGTAGGATAAGGGATGGGGACGTAAGGCAGAAATTCAAGGAGCTAGGGTGGAAGCTTAGAGCTAGAACAAACAGAGTTGTTATCTCTGGTTTGTTACCCGTGCCACGTGCTAGCGAGGCGAGGAATAGGGAGAGAGAGCAGTTGAACACGTGGCTACAGGGATGGTGCAGGAGGGAGGGATTCAGATACCTGGATAATTGGGGCTCATTCTGGGGTAGGTGGGACCTCTACAAACGGGATGGTCTACACCTGAACCAGAGGGGTACCAATATCCTGGGGGGGAAATTTGCTAATGCTCTTCGGGAGGGTTTAAACCAATTCAACAGGAGGGTGGGAACCTGAATTGTAGCTCCAGTGTACAGGAGGTTGAGAGTAGTGAGGTCATAAATAAGGTTTCAAGGTTGCAGGAGTGTACCGGCAGGCAGGAAGGTGGTTTGAAGTGTGTCTACTTCAATGCCAGGAGCATCCGGAATAAGGTGGGTGAACTTGCAGCATGGGTTGGTACCTGGGACTTCGATGTTGTGGCCATTTCGGAGACATGGATAGAGCAGGGACAGGAATGGTTGTTGCAGGTTCCGGGGTTTAGGTGTTTCAGTAAGATCAGGGAAGGTGGTAAAAGAGGGGGAGGTGTGGCATTGTTAGTCAAGGACAGTATTACGGTGGCAGAAAGGACATTTGATGACAACTCGTCTACTGAGGTAGTATGGGCTGAGGTTAGAACCAGGAAAGGAGAGGTCACCCTGTTGGGAGTTTTCTATAGGCCTCCGAAAAGTTCCAGAGATGTAGAGGAAAAGATTGCAAAGATGATTCTGGATAGGAGCGAAAGTAACAGCGTAGTTGTTATGGGGGGACTTTAACTTTCCAAATATTGACTGGAAACGCTATAGTTCGAGTACTTCAGATGGGTCAGTTTTTGTCCAATGTGTGCAGGAGGGTTTCCTGACACAGTATGTAGATAGGCCAACAAGAGGCGAGGCCACATTGGATTTGGTACTGGGTAATGAACGAGGCCAGGTGTTAGATTTGGAGGTAGGAGAGCACTTTGGTGATAGTGACCACAATTCGGTTACGTTTACTTTAGCGATGCAAAGGGATCAGTATATAAAGCAGGGCAAGAGTTATAGCTGGGGGAATGGCAACTATGAGGCGATGAGGCAAGATTTAGGATGCATAGGATGGAGAAGGAAATTGCAGGGGCTGGGCACAATTGAAATGTGGAGCTTGTTCAAGGAACAGCTACTGCGTGTCCTTGAGAAGTATTTACCTGTCAGGCAGGGAGGAAGTGGTCGAGCGAGGGAACCGTGGTTTACTAAAGAAGTTGAATTTCTTGTCAAGAGGAAGAAGGAGGCTTATGTAGAGATGAGGCGTGAAGGCTCAGTGAGGGCGCTTGAGAATTACAAGTTAGCCAGGAAGGACCTAAAGAGAGAGCTAAGAAGAGCCAGGAGGGGACATGAGAAGTCTTTAACAGGTAGGATCAAGGAAAACCCTAAAGCTTTCTATAGGTATGTCAGGAATAAAAGAATGACT